TCTCTCGGAGCATCTCCCATGGATCGAAGGATTCCCTTGTCGTCAAAGGAAGTTTACCGTGAAATGTAAGAGTCACTAGTGTCACTAGAGGAGCTTCGAGCCACAGCATCGTCAGAGTTTGTTAAGTGTGTTGTGGCGCTTGAGACAATGGAGTATTTCGAGGAGTCTCTCAACTCTCAACGAGGGGAAAGGTGTCGATAAGAACGTCCAACCCTTGAAGTCCCGAGAATAGTTTATCCCTCTGCCGAACGTCTTCGATGTCTTGCCTCAAGAACCGAGTTAGTCTGATGTCTGATACGGCATCGGTGATTTCGCTCGGATGTCGAGGAGTCCAAGCTTTCATCGTCGGGGATCAATCAGATATGGATCTCGTGAAACACACTCACCGTGATTATTGAAACCGAAGGATGTCTCCGGTAGAGGATGGCGATAGATTCTACCGTCTGCCAGGAATTGGATACCACAGAAGACGGATACGTCGTGTCTCGTGTCTTGCTCCGAAATCGACATCATTCTCTCCCTGACTACATATGCTGGAAAACGAAGCGGAATATCGTAGCGGCAGCAACATTAATATACCTCATTGCAAATCTCTCCCGAATGTCCCGGAGTCAGTTATGCTCAAGAGGAAGAAGACTCGTACGGCCATGATGCCACGTAGGAAGTTTCAGCTCGAGTCAGATGAGCCGAGTCAAATCTCGCCAATGCAAGCGGTCTGCATGATATTCGGGATGGTATTCATAGCGGGAATCGCTGCGATTTTGCTCTCGATACAAGGTATCATCGACGCTAAAGCAAGAGCTAGACGGCAAGAAAGCAAAGAAAACGTTTCCGCTCATCCCGAGATTTCGTCGAATTGGTGTGATTTCCGCTCTGAGGGGAATGCATCCGACGGCACACGACGTTTCGACATCTACCAAGAAAACTTGAATTGGGTCGACGACGAAACTTTTGAAGTCGTGTACAACATGAGCGTGGCGTTCGACACAACAAGCTACAACATGAGCGACTTCGTTAGCCTAGCTTGCACGATTGATTCATTCACGCTCGTCGCAGGTTACGCGATAGATGTCCAGAAGATGTTTTTCCTGAGCCTCGGATTCATTCCCAGACAAGGGTGAGCACCCATCTCCCCTAGTTTCCAAATCGCTGCGTGGATCTCCGAAATCGATGTGTGGAGGCGTGGAGAGAGGATTCTGATTCCTTTAAAAATAATCCATTCCTGCCTTCAGGATAATTCAACGAATTCAAAGACAGCTGCTTGGAAGGCCGGAAAAAGTTCAGTGGTATCCGTTCACTACCGCCAGCTCGAATCTCAGGCTGAGTCTCCTGATCCGCGGCATCGAGATAGATTTTTCTGTCTGTGACGAAGAGCGATGCGTAAGCGGATTCGGAGTCGATGCCAATCTCGAGGCGTATGGCCACACCGAGCATAAACTCAGCATCGTCGATATTTTCTGGCGGACCAGCGGGTCAACATTAAGGTGCGACGTTTCGAGCAGAGACCACGAGCAGATGTGTTGGCTGGCGAAGAGCGACGGCGCCATCGTGCCCGTTCTATGCAAAGAAGTTGAAGCAGGTCTCCTCGGCTCTGTTTTGACTGAGTATATCTACGAGCGACGCGCTTGACAGACGGCGGAAGTGGAGACCGCTCCGGTCCCGTTGTTGCATCGACGGGCGGAGAAGAGGCGGAAGTTCGCGAAGTTCGTGTTTCCTCAAGTAAATTCAGATATAATTTCGCTCTCAGCCAGCGCGGAGTCGAACGGGAGACTCGGATGCCCGAAAAAGAGGGACTCGGGTCTCTCATACTCAGCTTGCGCCTTCAGACACTACCGCGGACGTACTCGCTTGTTTGCGGCTCCCTTGCTGTATTGATTCCCGAAAACGGGAGATGTCAGAGGCGGCTTTCGGAGTTTCGTACCAGTGCTACCTGCGTTATCTTTACCTCGACATCGCGGCCTAAGGATGTTCCCCAAGCCTGGAGATCCGAAGCTCAGAAAGGTGATCTGGATTCACTCCTGGAAAATTGGTCCCCATAATTCGAGCTCGTTACACTAAGGAGAATCTCATTGGAACGACTTCACGTGTTTTTATAAAGGAGTCGAATATCTCTTCGAGTCCTGCGGATGTGCGAGCCGTGGAGCATGAGCCTGCTGCGGTCTCGCGCAGAGGGAGAACACAATACCAGTCGATCTCCTCCTTAATCTCTGACATGGAGGAATTGGCGATATATCCAGAGTCTGGGTCGAGTCCGGAGGTTTCAGAGGCTATCGGGCAAGTTTTGGCAAGCAGCGAGAGCCGTGAGCGGAGGGATTTCCTCTCCGCATAGATAGCGTGGAACACAAGATATATGGGTCGCAGCTTGGGGGAGCCTCCCATGTGAAACAGTGGGACGAGGATTTCGCATGCTGGCCATTCAATTCTACCGATATATGCGTCCGCCCCAGAGAGTCTCTTTTCCGGTCGGTTCGCTATCTACTGGTTCGGTTAGCCTGATCGGAAGCAATCCGAACGTCTCACGATGGAGCTCGACCACCTATAACGAAGCTTGAGATCTTGAGACTTGAAACGCTGAGCTTTGCCGACTCGGAAGAACTCGTTACGGCGGAAGACACTCACCTGAAAGATGGCCTCGTCACGTCGTCCGGTGCCAAGAGGAGAACTCCAGTAGCCGTGATGATGTGCACGAATCATCATAGCTGGCGGACGAGTTCAATAGGTCCAGAAAAGCGAGCTACCTCATCGTTTGACGGGAGTCGCGTCTGATGGCGTGGAAGCAACGAACTCCATATTCGAGGACCGATTTCGAGCCAGTAGTCCACCCTCGATGTTCGGAGTGGAGTCCGTTGTATTTCCGTTGACCCTTCCATCGCGCCATGAGCTGAGCTTCTGTTGCTCTCATGGGCTGGGCACTCACCTCGCACTTATTCGCCTCGGGGATTCTATCTCCAAGAGAGTTTCGCAACGAATTTAATTCTGAGAAAGATTCTTACGTAACAGGCGGTGAACAAAGTACTCCTCCCAGGGACCGGTACGTTATGCTGGTTGACGGATTACACGGTTTGAATCGGGCATACTATGTGGAAATCAGAGGAAAACAAGCGACTCTTGGAACTCTTCTGGAGAAAATGTTCTTTCACTTCCAAAGCGACTGAGGGAAGGTCGGCAGGGACTTGTCTCCCGTCAGTGTATCTGATTATATGATTATGTCCGACTAGCCCCGGAGGTATGTGCGTGGCTGCTGCTGGAAGCAGAGAGGGTTCCCGCAAAAATTCGTGTGACCCGATCTGAACCATTGTTCCCCAGATCTTCTCGGTGTAACAGTTACGCAATCGGTCATTACTTGGCGACGAATCAGGCTGACATTCTGGTTTGAGGTCGGTGGAAGATCATTGTTCTGGATAGCACGGACGATGCTTCCCTTCGACGATCCGTGGTATTGAGGCTCCATGAACGAGAAATCGGTCGCTGTCGTTCAGCGAGGCCTCGAGGGGAGATCCGATTCCGTGAATCCACTTTCCACAACGCGGAACCGAATATCCGTAGTAGTCCTTCGAAGTTTCAGCAAGACCTTAACGATAATCGAAGCATCATCCCGATAACGATTACTCTGCAAGCTCGAGGAAGCAGAGTTCCGCGCCCAACGAATCAAAAAGCTATTTCTCCCCTCGACAATCGAAGTCAGAATGCTCCATGTGCTCCGGTGTGGGAGCGACGGAATTCGAGAATCGGTAGCTTTCCGTAGACCGAGAGAGCTCTAGATTTTCTTGGACCCGGGAGTCCGTCGTGGGGTTGGGGCTCGTGGGACGATTGTTGTCGTTAGCTCCTGGAGCTCATCGGAGCACGTATTCTGGCGTTAGAACACGAACATTTTCTTTTTCCCCCTGGGGTGAAAGTCGCGAACGAAAATGATTCTATCGTAGCGGCAGATCTCCGGCATCAGTTTCCTACGACCGGCAGTGATTTTCCTGACATCGGAAAGCTCAAAAACCCTACGACCGATTGAGAACTATATATGTAGATTCCAATTTTCGGGAAGGTCGGGTATCCGGTTTTGACAACAGAAGTCATTGCGGGAGTCTTGGGGCATCGAATTTCGGACATAGGTATATTCAAAGACGCTACCCATTGTCTGTCCGTGATTAGCGGAGCCCATAACCCTGCCAAGTTTCACGGTGAGCTCTTGTCGAAGACGCCATTTCCATTCATTTCTGGATAAGGCGACATGCTCAGCCCCGAAGACGGCACCCCATATTCCTCTGGCGCTTCCAAAGATTGGACGAGCAAATACTCCTAATGTGACCAGAATCGCTCCAGGAATTCCACACTCATTCCAACCGGTTTTCCTACACGTTTTCGTGAAAGCTCTATTGTGTTCCTCGTGGAAGGCTTCAGCTTCAGTCAGACGTTGCAGGGGTCGTTGGAAACATCTGACCGAGCCACCGATCGAGCCACTGAAGTCTCCGTCTGTGTGTGCCGGACTGAGAATCAACAAGGTATTGTTCCTATTTTCTGGATGGGAAACAGGTGATGATGCCAAATATCACCACAAACGGTCTTCGTGTCAGAGAAGAGAAGCCCCCACGTTACGGACGGTCATTTTCCGAACTCTTCCCTTTGCTTGGATGCATCTTGAGTAAACAAGCAACTATTCGACGACGACTATTTTTACGAGCTTTCGGTCAGCTGATTTCTGCGTTCCGTACAATTCTGAATTCTTGAAGAGCTGAAGCGGAAGTTTGCATCGTACGGAGCTCCAAGCGGGATGTACCTGCTCAAAGTGGCCGTCTCCATCATTCTATGCTCTTCGGCGTAACAAGACAGTCAACTCTCTCAGCGGTTCAAGTTTTTCTGGGGTCTTGTCTGAAGCCAAATCCATATTTTTGCATTTTCGAATGTTCTTGAAGCAACTTCGCCATTATTCCCTGTCAACTTGAATATCACTCACCGAAGACTTCCTGCAATTGACTCGTTTTCTCTGCAGAGATGAAAGTGGAACTCTCATCTTCTGAGGGTCATCAGTCGGAGCTCCCATGCAAACGGCAGAAGGAACGCGTCTAATTTTCTCGCGACAAGCAGGACGAATGCGATAATCCGAGCACACGACGCTCATTCTATGACTCGGGGTCTAATTATTCGATAGAATGTGTGTTAGTTATTTCCCTCCGTGCCGTCGAGCACCGACGGATGTTCTGCAGGCCAGCACTCGCCATCGTCGCAGGATGGGAAGAGCGAATGAGAACGCATGGCGATCTATGGCTCCATCATCAAGGAGAACATGGTTAATAGCAGAACCCCGAGGGGATGAGAAATTCTTTTCGAGCTCCGCACGATCAGAGAAAAATTGTTTTTCGAACTCGGGCGGGTGGTGCGTTCTATATTTTCTTTCTCTCTTCCCAATCTATCTTGCTCACCTCAGTAGAAGAGCACAAAAACGTCCACGATATTTTGACATGGTCCCGGCTGCCACGACTCGGCATGGGGCAAGTTCAGGGGTCAAGAATCCGTTT